CCCTGGGCTCTGGCACCCCGGGCACGAGCAGCGACAGCCGGCAGCGCTCCCCGCTCTCTGACTACATGAACCTGGACTTCAATTCCCCCAAGTCACCCAAGGTGGATAAAAAAAAAAGGGCTCCCGCCGCTGCCCCCGCGCCCTGCCGCCCCCTCCTCCAGTTCGCAGCTGCAGCCACCTCCGCCACCCCCTCCAGGGGAGCTGTACCGCCTGCCTCCTGCACCCACATCCCAGGGCCCCAGTGCTGCCTCCTCTTCGTCCTCGGAGACTGGGGACAATGGTGACTACACCGAGATGGCCTTTGGCGTGGCTGCCACCCCGCCACAACCCATCGTGGCCCCCCCCAAGCCAGATGGTGCCCGCGTGACCAGCCCCACGTCCGGCATGAAGAGGCTGAGTCTCATGGATCACGTGTCTGGGGTCGAGGCCTTCCTGCAGGCTGGCCAGCCCCCAGACCCCCACCGGGGGGCCAAGGTCATCCGTGCAGACCCACAGGGGGGCCGCCGCCGCCACAGCTCTGAGACCTTCTCCTCCACCACCACTGTGACTCCCGTGTCGCCGTCCTTCGCTCACAACCCGAAGCGCCACAACTCGGCCTCCGTGGAAAATGTTTCTCTCAGGAAAAGCAGCGAAGGGAGTGGCAGCGGCGTCCTTGGTGGGGGTGACGAGCCCCCTGCGTCCCCTCGCCAGCCGCAGCCACCACTCCCCCAGCAGGCGCGGCCATGGACACCAAGTCAGCCTGGGGGCCTGGTTGGCTGCCCCGGGGGCAGCGGCTCTCCCATGCGCAGAGAGACCTCAGCTGGCTTCCAGAATGGTCTCAACTACATTGCCATCGATGTAAGGGATGAGCCGGGGCTGTTGCCGTCTCCACAGCAGCACCCACACCTGCATCCGCATCCGCAGCCAGGCGACAAGAGTGCCTGGGGCCGGACCCGTAGCCTCGGGGGCCTCATCAGCACTGTGGGGGCCGGCAGCACCGGTGGGGTGTGTGGGGGGCCAGGCCCTGGAGCGCTGCCCTCCAACACCTATGCCAGCATTGACTTCTTGTCTCATCACCTGAAGGAGGCCACCATTGTGAAAGGTGAGGCCCTTCACCTTGTGGGGGGTGGGAGGAAGGGTGGGAAAAGTGGGTGAGCGTTGGTGGGTTCACTCCTCTTCCCTCTTTTGGTACCTTGACCTAAATGCCAAAATATTGGCCCCGGCTTCTTGTTTTGTTTTACTTGAGGCTCCTGTGTCCTCCTCTTTCCCCAGAGACTTTGCCAAGAACAGTCAAAGCATCTTTGGGTTGAATGTGAAGCTTCCGATTCAGGGAACTACTATTTGTTGTTGTTTTGGCCCCAAACGTTTCTTCTTTCTCACAGTCCTCTTCCCACCTATTAACACTGGACATGCTCTCCAGGTCCCCACCTGAAACCCATCTTCTTGATCTGAGAGTGGGAAAGTTCTGCTAGGAAAGGCCCTGAAGTTCTGACTTCTCCCAGGCTTGTAACCTTCATTTTTCTCTTTGTTTTCCTGGAGCAGGGCCCCAGCTGATTCTTGCTGAGCCTCAAAGTTTATAAAAACAGGCTCGAAAGTCACTTAGGAAATGAGCATCCATTTTTGTGGCCGCTAAAGGGAACAGTTAAGCATTTACAGTTTACACATAAACTATAGGGGCTTTTCCATTAGAGACATTCCTTTTCTCTTAAGGGGCTGAAATAGTAATGCCGCTTAAACACAGCTTAAAAGCAGTGGTTCTCAAACCTGAGGATACCTGGGAGTCACCTGGAGAGGCTGCTGAGACCAGGATGGCTGGGCTGTATAAAGTCCCAGGGATTCTGATGCAGTAGGTCTGGGGTGTGGCCCAGAATTCGCATTTCTAAGAAAGTCTCCAGGTTGTGCTGCTGCTGCTGTCCTTTGAGAACCCTGTCCCAGGTCAGACCCACCCGAGGAGGTATGAGAAATAACCTATGGGGCTTCACACCAGACACTCAAATAAAACATCCAATGGGCAGAGTGGAGGCAGGAGCATTTTTCAGTTGCCCAGGTGATAATATGCAGCCAGGATTTAGAATCAGTGCTTTAGAGAAAACAAGTGAAGACAACATCATGGGGCTTTTCAAGAACAATTGGATAGGCTGGTACCCCGTATTGTTCTTCACATTCTCATCAAATATCCATGAGGAGAGAGAGACTGCTTGCTTTGCAGCTGGCGGTGCATTCTGACCGTCTCAAACTTTGAATGATGTGGGGGAGAGAGAGAAATAAAGGGGTGAGGGATGTTCAAGGGTTTCTTCTTTAATTGTGTAGCTGATTCTCTGCAGGGTTGCTAGTAACATAGAGGCACTGTGGGAACCGCAGAACACGTAGTAGTGGATGCTGTTCTAAGGTCAACAGTTTGCAGGGGTTACAACAAGGTGATGATCAAGGTGGCTTGGGGATCCATATGCCATTTTCTTTTTCTTTTTTTTTCTTAGAGTAAACAGATCAGTTTAATGCTGTCTAAATGCAGCATGTGTTTGATAATATCCATGGGATTTAAAATTATAGCTGTAGGGTAAGTGCCCTGTTATTGTACTATAACAGAGGAAAAGCTATTTACGTTTTTATTAAAACCATAGAATAAAAGATGAAAAGAGTCACAGAATTGTAAGGAATGTGGTGCTTCATTATCTAATTAAATCAATTGGAAGTTGTCAGAATGTTTCCCTTAAATGGTGACTCTCAGCTGAAGGTCATTTTCCTTGGAGTTACAATAGGCACTACAGGTACTTCGGAAAAATTGCTAGTGTGTCATGGAGTTAAGGATTAGCTGCCTTTCAAGACATAAACCATATAAACACACCGTATAACTGGAATCAAGTGGTGGTGGTGGTGGTGGGGGGGGTGTACACACACACATTTATTTGGTATGCCCAAATGGGTATATGCCACAGTGAACATGAAAGTACATTCTGCTGAAATCTGATTCTAATCAGAAAAACAGTCTGAGAACATAACACCTTTTACTGTTTTTGGTGGAGTAGGCGGTAAAAACCTGGACTGGATTCAGGAGGGCCCCAGGAGTGGGTTCTTGTAGTAACAGGAGGAGTGAGCTGGAGTGTGCATGCGACTGCAGGCCTAAAAGGAGTCGAGGCCTTTTTGATAAAGTAGATACATTGAGAAACGTGATTCGTGTATGATATAATGCCCTTTTCAGACTAGGGAAAATTTTAAACGGCAAGAGATAAGTTTAGCTAGAGACCCTGTTTAGCTTGTTTTGTTTAAGATTTCCCACCAGTATAAAATTCCTTTCAACCTATAGGATTCAGGATTCTGAAATCAAAACAGCAGTTTGTATGTTTCATGGTGGCTGAACAAAGATGAGAGATCGTTTTGGTTGCTGTTTTTCCAAAGTCTGTGTGGTAAATACCATTTTAAGAAGGAAAAAGGGTTCTTTTTAAACAAAATTGATAATTGCAATTGATCCATTGTGCCAAAACCACATTAAAAAAAAAAGGATCACATGCCAAAATGGGTTTCTAGTAAACTCATTTGAACACAGAGAACAGTAGAATAGGAAAGAGGAGGGTGTCATTTAATTAATGTGCAGGCTAAACTGTGGTCTGTGAAGCCAGGCGAACATTTAGAAACTCAGAACGAGCATCCACTTGTATTTAACTCATGTATTCCCGTAGACATTTGTTTGGGGTGCTCATAAATAAAAAGCTCACAGGAGATTAATAATTTAATCCTTGGAGAGAATAATTTCTAGAAGGAAGACGTGCAAAGCATTTCTTTGAAGATGAACTAGAAAAAGAACTTCCTGGGTTATTGCGTGCACTGCTCTGGCTCTCAGAAGTGGCATATGTTTGTTTCCACATCGAGCTTCTCGGGTTCTGCATGGGAAAACCGCACTGGTTATACTGAAGCAGAATCATTTGGGGGCCCTGGGTAGTGTTTGGTATTTGCATAAGTGGTGACCAAGACCAAGGTTCCAGCCATCTTTGACAGTTGTTTACAATATAATTGGGAGTGGGGGTGAGGTTTCAATGCTCAAGCCAATTAAAAGTTAGTACACTTGAGATAGATGTAGATAATATGTTGACATATTAGTTCAGAGAAAATAAAAATTTAAGTCTAAAGTTTGCATCTCATTTGTAAGTAGGGGAGGTTATTTACCGTGTATTTTATCTGTGTGTATGTAGAAAAATCCAACCAATCTGTTAGCCTGTAGTTGTTGGGGAAGTTGGAAGTATGTTACTGAATTTACTATGCTTTAAAACTACTTTTAAAAATTAACTCTTACATATTTTTGTATTTTGATTATAGATTGGTACATACCAAAAATAAGGTATTTTAATGTTTGTTTTTAGTGGGATTTTTATTCTAAAATTGTTTTTTCTATGTGTACAAGGCAGATTAGGTAAGGATTGCCACTGGAAGCATCTGTATTTAAATTATGTTTGAGTAAAAGGGTCTGTTTATTCATAGCCTATGGTAAAGGAATCATGGAATAAGAGGAATGTTTCCACAGGAACAGTGCAGTCAGGATGTATGTTTAAAAGTATTGCCTGTTGAAGTCTTAAAGCAAAGAACTTGAACACTTTCAGAACGCCAGTGAGATTGCTTGACAAACAATACCCCTTATTTTTTCTGTTGTGCATGTTTTTCTGCTTTAGCTGGATAGCTTTGTCATAATAGGATAATAATGTGCCCTGCTCCTACCCTATTCGTAGTTGTCTAACGAAGATGCTAATGAAAACACAGAGGCTTTCGTGAATGAAAGTCACATGACTTGTTCTATTTCCTTTATTGAAAGAGAAACCTTTACAAAAATAGTACTTCGTAGAAGGAAGCATACATAGTATGTGGAACACTAAACCAGAAATCAGGAAACCAGGTTTCCAGTTGCTGATCTTAATTAGTCTTTGTGTGACCAGAGGGAAGCCATTTAATCCCTCTTTCTCACTTTCTCCATCTGTAAAATGGGATCATTATAAGCCTCTCCCTTCAGGGTCACAGGGCCACTGGGAGGGCCAGGAGATAGTAAATATTAACAGTGGTTAAGCTCTTCTAAAGAAATGTGCTAACACATCTAATGACGCTATTGACACTTGTTACCTTAAAACTGTGAGAATATACAGGAAAGATGCTTTTGTAAATGGGTGTTCTCTTAGAAAAAGACAAAAACTCATAGTTGTCTGAGTGGAGCCAATCAATACCTATTTAAGAAATGTTTGCCTTTTCTGTTTGATTGCTAGTTCCATCTCAGTCTCCAGGAACCATTGTTTTTTCCCCTCTTTTCTTTTTTAACTTTTGTTTGTTTGTTGTTTTTTTTCATAGATAATTATCAATTGTAAGGAAAGAGTGTCTTAAATTACATAATAAAATAACAATTAAGGAAAATAGCGCCCTAATCCTGAAACTATACTAAGACCATACTTTTGATTACCTTTTTTTTAAAAAAAATTTGTTTACATATTAAGAGATGTCGTCAAATGGTGTCAAGATGAAAATGTATAATTAGAATATACATTTATTTAAATTGACAGTTTTGGTTCTTCATGCTGGCTGCAGTGAAAGGCAAACACAACTCTTAAACTTTCATTAGTTGAATCATCCATTGTTCAACCCCGGAGTTTCACTCTTTGGGGTTGATTTAATTAGAATGGTCACCCTTGCGCTGTTTTAATTTGTTTGGTTGTCAAACATTAGGAAAAACTTGTAGTGTATGGTACTTCTGTAGTTCCACAGACCCCTCCCCCCCACAAAAGGAATTTTATTAGATAGTTAAGGTGTTATATCCTTTAGAACTATTAGTATTTAAATGAATGTCTTTCTGAAGAGGAGAACTTGCAGAAGTTTTAGTAACAGCTCAGGTATAATGGGTTTTCTGTTAAAATTCCCACTAATGCATTTTCTGTAGAAGCATAGTTCCAAGAGCTAGTTAACTTTTGGTATCAGATTTGGCAAGTGGAGAGGTTTCTTTGTTTTGTTTTTTTTGGGTAGCACAGAATCAAGTGTTCCCATTTCACCTTAGAAACTTAAGGGAAAATGTAACTTTACTCTTTTATCTGCACTGCCAAGTAGAGTGGGGGAAACACTCGGAGGGAAGCAAAG